GGGGGGGGGGGGACTAACCGGTGAAGGATGCCAAGAGATGGTCACCGGATGTGAAGGCCACACTAGCACCGTCGCCACACATGTGAGCTTCAACAAAGAGCTCCCATGCACTCAAATGAGAACGTGCAGTTCTTGTGTGGTGACTAAGACCATTGTTAAACAGGTTTTCTAATTAAACTCCTAAATGGTGAGTTGGGGAAGTGAGGAGACACATTGCCAACAGTAGCATTCAAAGAGGAGGAGAACTTTAATGTGTTCTTATTGTGCTCTATCCAAAATGAGTAGCAAAGAGAAGAGCATTGGAGATTAAAAATAGTCCACCACCATTGAGGGAAAATTAAGCTTATGATGATTAGGAAATAGGGGTGCGCAATAGACTTACCTCCACGTGATGCACCCTGGGCAACGTATACTCATACGGCAAAAAAAGTCTATTAACTGGCAGTTGACTTCTCACTTCAAACTACCATTACCCCATTGTATGTCATATTCGACTACTTCAACCGTACTCACCTCACCTTTGTTCTACCTTTGTGTTTGTCTCTTACATCTTTGAAACACTCTTCTATCCCCCCCCCCCTATCGACTTTTTCAATTTGATGTTCCTTCCCCTCTGTGAATTCTGAAGTCAACTAAAGTGCTAATGATAACCATCAAGACGCCTGCCATTTGATATAAATAAATAAATGATTAGGAAATATGGCTTGGAGAAACTGAGATTCTATTGGTTATGAATAGTTGTGCATTTTAGGTTTGATTGAATTTGTAAGGTGAGAAGTTGACATTCAGAAAGAATGACACCATTTCCTCCTATTTTATGGGTTAATGGCAGAAGCCCTAACCCTGATGAGTCACAATTTGCATTTTCAGTCTCTCCAAATTTGATAAGAATTTTTTACTCCGTCTTGAAACCAGGACACAGGACCATATCAGGTTTTATGATCAGTAGTTGCGATTGAAAGCTCAAATTAGTGACGCGAAAATTGGTATCACAGGTGGCTTTCTAATTGTGGTGTGCTTGCTTAAAATACGTTCTTATTCCCATCCGTTATATTCCTCACATATTCGAGTGTTTTTTACTGTTTAAATATAGCAATCAACGTCCAACGGTGACTAGGTACTTGCAATATGTACTTTCTAAAACGACAGGAGAATTTCCGCAACGAATGAATGCACAATTTTCTATGAAATCGAGTGACAAGAGAAGACGAGTAAGAGAGAAGTAATCTCCTGCCACCCCTCCCCCACTGCATTGGCACATTACGCCTCGTCTTAATGCGCCATCCATAAATTAAATACCTCCCTCCCGTAGACTTATAGCGTGCTAGAATGACTGGATATGTTTTTTATCTGCAAATCTAAACGACAGTCAACACACGCACACAGTGAGGGCGGGGGTGGGAGGAGGAGTAGAAGCGGGAATTGACATTTGCCGTCACATCAACGCATTAAATTGGCCAGCAATGAATCACAGCCAGCTTAACTAGCCATCAAGATAGAACCAACAAAGGGAGAGAGGGGGAGAGATAGGGAACGAAACCACAGCGTCGAGACTGAACCCCTGGATTGACCAGAAAGGGATACGTGGTGAGATATTGCCTGCTTTTTCTTGTGGAGACGATCCTCTCAGTGCTTTTCAGAAACCGGAAATAACTGTGAACTTAACTCGAAAGCATTAATTTTTTAGCCCAGCCGAAAAGGAATAAATGGGATTAAAATCAGAGGCGACTAAGGGAATAAAAAAGGAAACGCCTAATTGAATATTTTGGGCGTATATCGAGCTATTATTAACTATAGGACCTGCACACGAAGTAAAGGTCAACTAACCAGGCAATCAACCATCCAACACCCAATTCCGTGTATTTTCAATAGTGAGTCGGTCCTTTGAAATAAGTCATTTTACGTCATAGAGCAGATGTAGCTCAACAAAAAGGCAACTGAGCAATTTATGAAAATTAACAAAACCTCAAAATATCCGCATTAGACCGCAAGAACATCCACTTTTAAGCAACCCCAAACGGAGGTGTAGATGCCCTGATCGACAAACGCTAAAGGTCAACAAGAAAAATCAATCAAGATTTAAGCTATGCACACCAAAGAACTGATCTTTTAAAAAAAGAACGTATCGGTTCGTAAAGTAGAACTTTTCCCCCGTGAAAGCCACACAAAGCTCCTATGAAGTCCATTATTCTTAATTTGCACTCGAGCGAATATCAATTTTCAATAATAATTATTGTAGCGCTTTCATAACTAATTAATGTGCAAATAATTGAATCCCCTTTCTGGAAATTCAACAAAACATTCAACACCGGCTTTAAACTGTTTGTCCAAATTTGATTTACCTCAAAGAAGCGCTTCCTGATGAAATTGCACCGCATTAATACCCTCCCCCTCCCCCTACACCCACCGACAAGACTACAATTATGATAAAATGAAACGAATTAGGACTTATGAATGAGGCTGTAAAAACTCTTGACGTTTTATTCACATTTTTTAGCATTAATTATATCCTCAAATGGTGATTCCAGTAAAAGAATGCTTATTTTAAAAAGATACTCAATCGAGAGAGAGAGAGAGAGAATAGTCCTACCTGCAATGGACAATGATGGGACCTCGTGAGGGAGTCCATTCCTTGATGGTTGTTTTGACGAAGACCAGAACAGGCAGAGGAGACGGTGGGACATCGAAATCTCTCCAGTCCGTGTATTGATAGTGCCGAACAATCCTCTCCTTTGCGAACTGAAAAGCGTCCAAAATAAGACAGATTGTAACTCACCCCCCTCAACAGTCTAAAACATTCAGACAACTGCTCTTTAAAAAAAACAAAGAAAACAAAATCAATTAGAGCAAACATATTCGAAAATTAGGCCAAGAATGTGAGTAGCATCTTGTTTTCTGTTAAAATCACCAATCTATTGGGTTGGCAACTAAGTCATTGCCGTTCTTGTTGACAGATTCACTCTATACTTTCTTTTGTTTTGTTAATGTGGCCAGAGCATCTAACCTAAATTTTTTTCTTACTGTATGGGCTTCTAGGTTAATTAGTAAAAATTTTTTTGTTTAGTTCTTTAGTTTTGTTTTTATCCCAATTTAAAAATGAAAGAACAGGACGTGCACTTCCGACACATTTTATTGTATTACTTCCGAAAAGGCAAGAACGCATCGCAAGCACAAAAGAAGTTATGTGCCGTATATGGAGATGAAGCCTTAAAAGAAAGGCAGTGTCGAAATTGGTTTGAAAGATTTCGTTCCGGTGATTTTTCACTGAAAAATTCACAACGATCTGGCCGCCCAGTCGAAGTGGATGAAACCCATATCA